CTTTTATAAAAAATCGAAAGGCATTCCCAATCATCTATTTCCAAGCTACGACGAAGTCTTAAATTTGTGAAATTTTGAAAACCGTTGGTCATCTGTCATTTATTGGCAGGTCATCTGAAATGCCTTCTGGCTACATGTCAGCAGCCTTGACTAAAGCTTTTAAATTGGTCTTAGGAATTGTTTCAACAGATCCTAAAGAAGTTGTAATCCACACTATGGGATATGGAAACCAGGCTGATGTGCTTAACTTAACTGGCCACAGGTGACAGATTTGCTAAATTTTATGAGGCTGAAAGATTATGAAAACTAACATCCAGTATCCATCGATTATCATGAATAAATGTTGATAGAGAATATAAAAAAAAGAGGAGCAGAAGATTTTAGCGGACCGTATTGGCCGGTAATGAGAGAAAGGAGGGTGATATCTTTTTTTATTTGATAAACATGCAATAATAGCTGTTCCTATGAGGATTAAGCGATTTTGCGTTATAGGTAATTTCGCGAATAGGTAATTTTGCGAAAATTACCTATTTTACAGATTTCATGCATGGAGTACAATTCAAAACTGATTTTCGTGGTGACTGGCGTGCAACACATCCCTTGCACAACAGTCGCTATATTTCTGTACTATTTCGGCACAACCGGGCGTTTGTGGTGGTTCGTACTGTGTTGCACTTGGAATAGATACACGCAAAGGCATCAGCAAAATTTGGTTAGTGCTTAAGTTCGCTTCTTGATTGTTCAGTCCGAAATTGCAAAGCTGCATCGGGGACTGCTTGAAGACGAGCTAAGAGCGTTGTGGAGCGCTTGCATTATTTGGCGAATCGGCGTCAGCACGTACTGCAAGAATAATCTCTTGTCTGTGATACTACGGAGATCCTCTCAAGCGGTTTTCCGGGAGCAGGTATGCACGCACTGCAGATACACAGATCTACTTTAGTACCCAGTGCCTATTCGATTTAAGTGCGCTATCTCTTGGTCACCGCCCGAATTATCTTTTCCCCCTCTCCCTCCTCCTCCATTTTCCCTCTCAGCACCACTCACTGGAATATATGCATATATACATTAAAATATGTATATATATATAATTTTTATTTTATTTATATACGCATATCTAAATCAAT